ACTTTTTGGAAACACCGCCGCTGAGTTAGCTAACTGAAGCATTTCATGTTGTGTCATCTGTGTTCGTTAGCAGGGCAAAACGCTTGTTCTTCAAAATTTGATACCCTGGCTATCAGCTTTTACCTCTCGTACTAGCGTTACTTTAAGTGAGTTGCCTTCATGATCACGACAACGATTGCCTAGCCTCCAGTTAGCTTGCTATAAGTTATTTGTTTATTAGTAATCATACTGTCTGTTCTTGTACTTTTTGTTTATAGCGTGGATCCAGTTCAGCGCGATGCGCCTCTGATAAAGGAACACCAGCCTTCTGTTCATTTGACCTCCGTTGGATCGACTTTACCCGCTGATTGTGGGGTTCCTTTCATTGAAGCACTTCCGCGTGCAACGGTTACCGTGAGAAACCCCGCACCTCCGGTCCTAGGCGACTCAACGCACATCCCAAATGAATCCAGCGATCTTCATCCTGCGTTACCGCTTCGTGCCTCCCCCAGTCCTGCTCCGTGTGTCCGAGTGAGTAAATGACATTTTCAGCTGCGTCTGGGACTCCAATTTTCGGTGATGGCATTCGTCAGCGTGCGTAGCCTATTAAACATGAGAAGCTGTGAGGCTGGTTCAAGTTTGTACGGCGGAGGTCTACAATGAGCCACTCAAAGAGGAAGGAGACCATCCACTCTGCGGGCTGAGCAGGTGGCCGTCTATCTGTTCTCCGAGCTTGCAGGCATTGCATCCCCAGAAAGCGAATTGTCAAGCTCGGCGAACAGATCAACCACTACCTGCTCAGCCACACGTAATCGCACCCAAATAGGTCGACAGAGTGACAAATTCCCACCCGGATTAATTACCGTTTATGTAGGATCACCGGGGTTTTTTCCATTATGGTCGAAAAATGAAAAAAAAAACCGGGGTTTTTCCATTATGGTCGAAAAATGAAAAAAAATCCACCAAAATTTCAACGGTGCTCTAAACTCATACCGTCTTCACAAATTAAACAGGATCATTTTGCAACCCGTGCACTTTTAATGAGACATCCTTTGCAGCAAGGCGGGCGGAATCTTGATTGACAGCTTCCGGGAGGGTTAGACAAAAGCCCTCATCGATCTCTATTTCGTGCTTTTAAACCTAAGGCTGCGTTAGACATCATCTGAGGCTAGAGTCACATTGAAGCGCCGGATTTGCTGTGTCGGGTAACGAAATGTTTCACATCATGCGAAGTTTTATGTGTCTTGAGCCTCATACAAATCAAACAACCCATGTGGAAAAATATCCATTCTCTCGTTCCGCCCGCCCCCCCCCCCATTCCCC